AGAATCACACAAGAGAAAATGAAGAGACGAAGACAGCACTTCCTTACACTCATGCTTGTCGTCTCCTAGGGCCGGTGGATGTGGATTGACCGTCAGGGTTTCTATTACACCAACTGGTATGCCCAGTCCTCCTCCAGCAGCCGCCCCTGCGTCCACTTACGCACCTCCCGTAAGTCCACTTTGCTTTTAACGTTTCAATACTTTTACTTGGATTTCTGTCTTGATCTCAGAAATCTGTATATATATATTGATTATGATCTTGATATGGGTCACTGACCTGTACTTCAGGGGCCTGGAGTACAAGGCAACCACACACATTTGTCACCCTTCTTTTGGTCTGACTGCTGATTTACTCAATTTGTGGATCAAAGCAAATCAGTGATATTACCTTGAACATAATGGTGTGTTATTTGTTATTTACAAACATGTTACTTATTTTCAGATGGTTGGGGTAACGCCTATTGTACCTCTGCTTACCGCTTCATCTGCTCCAAGAACCCTTTTAGCTGTTAACCTACGTCCTAAACATCTGAGGCCTTGGAACAGATCAGCCAGTGGTTTTCTTACTGTTTAAAGTCAGCTCATGAGTTCTGTTGAGCGTCTTGCTGGATGATTGATTTCTATTGTGTGTTCTTCAAAGCCTTAAATGGTAAAGTGTTAAGTAGCTTTGGTGTAAAACTGTTTCTGTTTTAGATTGTGACAGTTGGTTCTTTTCCATAATAAAGATTTGTGAGAATGGGACAATGTGTGATCTTCCTTTAAGAGCTTCGTTGAAAAGTGGCTGTAGAAGTATAGCAGTAGTTCCTCTCAGAGTAACTTGAGTCAACAGTCCTACTTCAATGCACTTCAAATAGTGTTATATATCTCAGAACTAATGCTTTGATCCATGGTTTTGGTGCTCAGAGGTACGATGAATCAAATAAATCATAAACTTTTCTTTGATATGCTACTAAGAGGAACTGGCTCTACAAAATAAATAATAAAGGTTAGAAGTGGAGGAAAGAGTTGGAAGTGTTTCAACCTGTTCTTCAACAGTGACGTAGATCCCTCTATTGGTCTGGAGTGGTGTCAACATTGGGCAGCAACCTGCGCTTCTGACGAGTGAAGCCAATGCAAAAGTGTCTTACAGCTTGCATTCTCTCTACTGACCAGCAGGGGACGACTCCTCTGGTTGTATAGAAGTCTATGAGAAAATTACTCTCCTTCTCTCTTGATTTATTACCTCAGTAAACATTGTAAACATGAGTTTATGGTCTCAATCTCTAGTTTCAAGTCTTCTTCAACACAGCATGGTGTTCATTTAGTAAATGATGGTCCATTTAGAGTCAAATAAAGCAGGGTATGCTTTAGGGCGGGGCTACCTTGTGATTGACAGGTCTCTCTACCAGAGACGTACACAGCGTCTCTACGTCGCTCCTCCGCATTCCAAATATGGAAACTTCCATTCATTGGTTGCAAAAAGCCAAGATGGCGACGGCCAAATCGCAGATCTCGAGTCTTCAAAACGTCAGTCCACAAACCAATGGGTGATGTCACGATGACTACGTCCACTTCTTATATACAGTCTGTGGTCGACACCTATGTGTATCCCCTCTTTTGTCTCAGATCCCTAGTTTGAATAAAAACTTTATGAGATGGTAATGATTAATCCAGGTATTAGCAAACCCAATGTGGGATTAATAAAGTACATTTCTCTCTCTCCTACACACACACACATAATGCGGATTGGTAGACACGCACTACTTGAAGCCCGACGAGATGGATTTTTGTGTGTTATGTGATCCCACAATTCTTGTTTTATCTTGTAAAACTCTCGAGAATCCAGCATCAGTACAAGTTAACGTTTTTCCCTCTCTGATGTGGAACATTTAATGTGTTGTTACTATGGTGACATATCACTACAGTAGTGTAAACTGTGTGAATTTTTCCCCCATTGGAATCTATATGCATTCAGTTGATAATGCAGAAAATCTGATTTAGTTCATTTAAAGTCTGTTTACAGCATTAAGTGGGTACTCTGGTGGATCTTTTTGTCTGTTTGCTTCAGCTCACTTTAACACACAAAGAATGATACTACATACCACTTTGGATTAGGTTTTGATGCTTGGTTTTGATTTGCCACCAAGACAGTTTGACATGACACACATTCATGTATTCACTAACGTGAAAAGATCGATTCTAGATGTTAGTGCATGAACACAACTTTTGTATGTGTGTGGTTGTGTGTGTGTGAGTGTGTGTATCCAACCAGGCCCAATGTGCCAGTCTGGGAGGCTCCTCGATTTGTTGACAGTCTCCTCCAGGAGCTCACCAGGAAGTCAGGAGGCTCTGTCTCCAGGGTGGGAGGATTCTACTTCCCGGTTATCAGACCATCATGTAAATCCTTGTCAACACAGCGGCCTTATAACAGACAATTCACCATCCGGGTTAGGCTACAGAACATACAAATATTAAAGTTGTGGACGGAAATGTCCAATAAAAGTGTCCAGGGCTTGAGGTGGACCAGAGCTCCTTCAACTACAACTACTGGAGATCACAGAATACTGTCAGTCACTACCACTGCATCCACTCTAATGCCAGAGGGAAGATGGAACATCTGTCACTACAACCCTTTAGTTACCAGCTAGATAATTATACCTCTGGAACTGAGATAAACAACTTGCTGTTGTAACATAAGCCAAGGAGGTTTCCTACATTTGTAAATGTTCATTGTTGTACATAAAACTAAAGAACCCTACAGAAGCCTAGCATAGTTGGGTCTCACCTGAATGTAGGTACGTCTCGACAGAGACGGAGAGGTCTACGAGCAACAACTATAGTTTTGATGGAAAATATAAGTAGTTTACAGAAGTAGATATTTCAAACATTACATGGACATTCACTCTCTGGACATTTCAGTGCGCAGAAGACCTTGCGAGGGGCACAAGTCAGATGCTGTTGGCCTCACATAACCCGTGACATAACTCAATGGTGTCTTGAATGCGCAGCCTGTGAAGCACAGCGACCACAAACACCACACCAACAGGCACCTATGCAAAACATAATCACATCTCGGCCTTTTGAGAAGATTGCAGCACACTTGACGGAGTTGCCACTGACTCGCCGTGGTGATCGTTATGTACTTGTTGTAATGGACTATTTTACTAAGTACCTCAACTTGTGTGCACTTCCTGACCGACGAGCAACCACTGTGGCTAAATGTTTGTTTGAAGATTACATCAGTCACCACGGTGTCCCTCAAAATTTGCACACTGACCAAGGCCGTCAGTTTGACTCAGATCTTGTCAAAGACATGTGTTCCCGCTTGAGAATACACAAAACACAGACATCCCCCTATCATGCTATGTCAGATGGCATGGTGGAACGGGCAAACAGGACCATCAAGGACCAGTTGGCAAAATACCTTTACACCAGAGGAGGTGAATGGGACGACCACCTGCGACAGGTTGAATTTGCATACAACACCACTGTTCACTCGTCCACCAAACACACACCTTTCTCCCTGGCCCATGGTAAGCCCGTCTGCCTGCTGATCTCCTTCTTGCAGACTCTCCCGGAGTTTCAAATGCCACTCCAGGTACTCCAAGTGAATATGCCAATTCTGTATTAAAGAGACTGTGCGCTGCTTTTCACTCTGATGCACTAAACATTGAGGCAGCAGGTGCATTACTATGATCGTCGGTTGAAACACACAGCCTATGAGCCAGGTGACTTGGTGTGGGTTGACCTGTCAGCCGTTGCTAGACAAAAGCTGTCACCAAAGTGGTCGGGCCCTTTCAGAGTGCTACGAATGTTAGGCTCAGGCGGTGGTGACATTGGAGTGGACTATCAACTGTTGGACCAGCGAGACCCGAGAGCTAAGACTAAGGTCATTCACTACAACCGCCTGAAACCTTATCGCTCTGCCTGGTCAGCTGAAAAGAATCCCCCCTCACCATCAGGAGGGGCTGCAGCATCAAACAGCTCAGGTCCCTCATTGCTTACTGCACGCTCCAGACCTTATGTTTACTGGAGTCCAGCCACACAACGATGCTCTGTGCCTCCAGATAGGGCTCGGGCTAATGTTTGTCCTCCGACTCAAGGGGCTGCTACTACCTTAACAGATGTGGGAGACAATACTGCCACAGGATCTTCCAGTGAACTGTCTCTGGTAGTGCTGCCTTTTGATGGAACAGTTTAAGACTGTTATGGACATACAAAAAACAAAATATGTATATATATGTATGCTGTTCTATTATTTGTTATGATCCTTGTGGTTGCTCCTGTTTATTACCTTCATCTGTTTGTATTGGTGTTTTGTGTAAGTTGATAAGTGTACCGTAGTTTATAAATTCAGCTATTTTGTAAAGGGGGGAAGATGTGTAAGAGTGAAATTGTGTGATGTAAACATAATTACGTAAACACAGGTTCACATATTTAATATCTTTAGTTATGTTAAGTTGATGATCAGATATGACCACTAGTCGGCGCTGTATAGGGGGTTTGATGTCATGGGATGAGGGGAGAAGAAGAGTAGCGGAAGAGTGTGGTTTGACTTTGTCTGGGTCAGTGTGGAATCTTCACTAACGTTATGAGGAAAACCCAGAACGTGTTGGACTGATTCATTCCGTATCATACACCCACGACGCTTACAATATTGTAATTTTGTTTTATTGTTTAGGAACAGATACAGTTTATTGCACTCTTTAGGCACATCAAATATAGCAATGAATACAAACAACAATCACAACTTCCAAAACCGCATGTCATACATACATATGAAGTCTTATGAAGAACAAGCAGCAGCATTAGGTATCATGTGTTGAAGCCAGTCGCTGCCCACACTGTGAAGACTAGCAGTTTGGTTTCACCTGACAGACGAATGGGAAGGACATGCTGCAGCCATGATTGGACCACCCCTTGGACTCTACAAAACATCAACATCAGCATCATCAGCTTTGGCAACAAAATGACATGAATCAAGTTTGATGGTAGAAATAGGCCTGATGCTCCTGTCTCTGTGCCCTACTGTTTGTTCAAAGGTCTTCTCTTCTTACCGTACGCGTTGAGCTGCAGGCACTGGTAAATGTTAGTGTCGCTCGCTGGATCCCAGTTGTTATAGTTAAACACTGAGCCATCTACCCATCTCCAGTCGCTCTGGAGGAAATCAGCATTAGAGTCCCCGTCAGTTTGTGTTCAGTGTCTCTACATGTACACGTTTAGTTTGAAGTATGTTTGTGAAGGATTTTATCATTTCAGACAAAAAATAAAAGGCTCCATCGATTTCCACATTTCAGCGAACAAAACGTAATGCCAGCTATCATTAAGTTCTACAAAATGGATCTTAATCTAAAATGGACCGAAAATGTGCACAAACCATGTTAATCTACTTTTATTGCTATTTAAGGATTAAACAGTAAAAAAAGCTTTAAATGCGTTGCAGTCTGGAAACCAATGAGATGGAACAAAAGATTTTCTTAAATAAAAGCTTTTTTAGTGAACATACCTCAAAGTAGTACCCTCCAATCCAGGCTAAAGTGTGACCCCCGGTCTTGACCACTCGCTGGAGGAAATTATACTCCCAGATGTTGTGGACTGAGGCCAGACTGCCATCGTAGCTAGCACAGAAGCTCTGCAGGACCAGATGACATTTGTTAAACTAGTTCTAAGAAAGAGCTCCAAACTTTGTATTCTCCTTATTTAAGAATGCTATTACCACTGCGTTTCTCCAGGTGTCAACGTGGTTGGCTAAGAAGTAGCAGCTACCACGGAAACTAAGCCAACCGTCAAGGCAGAAATCAAAACGAGCTGGAACAAAGAGAGAGATGCATTTTTTTTATCAAATACAAAAATGTGTCTTTTTTTACTCATCATGTGAGTTTTTTAGGGAATGAATTCAGTGTCTCAGGACAGAAATGATTTTTTACCATCTCTCTCCAGCAGCCTCATGTGTTACTGTGAACGTGTGATTTTCTTACCTTTAGGTACAGCAGCAGCATCTGCATCCAACCCTGTAAAAGCCAACGACAAAGTCTGTAAGGTTAACGGATTCATGGATTCTTTGTGTGAGATTCACATTCATTATTTTGTCATGATTGTCTCATTTCCATATCAGTTTACTGTGCAGTTTGTAAGAATCCCTAAATATGGCAGCATAAGTTGATACATAATAAAGAGCAGCATATTGCTTCATTGCTATATATATTAAAGGCACCAATGAATTATGTTAGGATGTACAGCAGAACTGTTCCCTTTGCTGATTCGCCCAGTGTCACGTTTCCTTCAGCTCAAACCAATAATATGGTCCAATATGGACAAGATGCTTCATACAGCAACAATATATACAAATACGTGGTGGTCCGTGTTGTGAGTGATCAACCTGGAAAGTTAAACAAATGACCTGCTGTCGGTGCGGGATTGTTGTCCTGTTGTACTGCAGCAGCCTCAGCCGGAACAACTAAGGGAGGAGAACAGAAAGATACTGAATGTCTAGGGTTTTTTTTTTTACAGTTACAGTTATGTACAAAACAAGTACCACTGAGTTAAGGGACAAAGACCGTGTCTCACAGATTCTATATTCCTGTCCTAACTACAGTCTGCACTGCACAGTCCCACCCATTCATTTGTACCAAATGGTGTAAGTAACACAACTGTCATTAGACAATAACTGTGACTAAATCTCCATTCAGCATCTAAAGAAGAGCTTGAATATAATAAACCATGTAGTAGCCAGCTGTCGAGTATTCAGCAGGGATGCAAAGATATTGCACAAATGGCAGTCTGCAAACTATTATGACTATTAGACAGAAGAACATGTTCATGGTTATCTTGGACCAAGATGAAACTAAAATGAATTTACAGTCAACTAAAAATTGACTAAAACTTAAAAGATTGCTGACTAAGTATGACTAAAACTAACATGGACTTTTGATCTAAGTGATTAAAAGTGTTAGTTTTAGTCATATTTACTAAAATATGAGTCATAGTAATAGATTATTCTAAATTAGCTGACTAACATTAACACACGTCCCAAACCCTCATTCCATCCCTCGCCCCACATTTTCAATACATCATCTACATTTCACAATTGTTTAAAATGTGTTATTGAAATGAAAAAGCATTTGATCAGTATTGAGTCTCACCTGTTGCGGCCCTGATGGACGGAGCAACGCAGAGGATAGCAGCGAGGATCAGTAGAATCTTCATGACGAAAGCTAAAGAACGTCTGGAGGGCCAGCAGCTAAATGTAAGGTGTTCTTCAGGTACCAGGCAGGTAAGTGATGACAGGAGGCTCTGTGATCTTTAAATACACACTGGATTACTTTGAGGCGTTTCCTTCTTGTAACAGAGGGGACGATAAAACTTTGGACCTTGTCCCCTTCGTCAGTATCGAGTTGTGTTGCAGGAAGACGGAACTGTTTTCCCATCACTTCCCACAAAGATGATATCACCTATGGGCCAACAAAGTGGTGACATTTCCCAGAGTATACATATCCACTGTTTTACCATGCTGCCCTTAGTAAAGAAAAGTCTCCAATCTTCTGAAATAAAATAATAAAAAATAATCAAAGAATTGACTATAACCATAAAAGGAGACATAACATTAAGAACACAGAGGTGTCCATTCAGTAGTGTTACACATGAACATGAAGAATCAGATTTCATTAGCTGTTACAGAATTCTGTCAGTGTCTGACCATTATAAACTTTTGTTTCTTACCAATAGGAAGAGAATTTTGATAAGGTAATCTCCATTTTCTAACTAAAACACACATTTTTGCCCAGTTGTAATGCTATTTGGAGTTAATGAGTGAAGAGTGAAGTCCAGCCAGCTCGAAGAGTGTCATTTGGAGAGAGAAAAAAAAACTACTTTTGCCAAGAATTAGAGAGTATAGTAAGCCAGGAACCAAAATACAAATGGTGAGAATTTCTCTTCAAGCTATTACATACCTCTGATAGGGTGTTGCTACTTGCTAGTAATGCTAACACCCTGGACTAAATATAACTTAGCTAAATCAATATTGTGGATTTATAAATGTTTCATTGTAACCACTGATATTGTTAATAAACTACTACTAGATACTATTAAAAACCCACGGACTCTACTAACCCACGACTCAGATTTATTTACAAGGAGGAACTAAATCAAGCAGAAATAATAGAGGAGAAATGATGAGGTCACCACTAAAAAAGTTAAGAAATGTACTCCTTTGTATCAGTTTGAGATGGCTAACACTAGGCTAAGTCTAACACTTATTATCAAATGAAACAACCTGTCTACATAACAATGACTACAAATGTGACGGCTTGTTGTGCGTGTACTGTTAAACGATGTCACATTGAACCTGAGCTTTATTTCTTTACAGACACTTTGCCTTTTCCTTCAATACAACAGTCAGTGTAATGCATTTGTTTCAAGCATCTCAAAGATAACCGATGAAAATACCTGAAATATACAATCTCATGATATGCACTCGCTCACTCTCACTCCAATGCAGCTAACTATCTATTTAACCTTAACTTATAGACATCTAAATGAAATAATGACTGACTCAAACAAGGGAACATCAAGGAAGGAAGATATCTTGTTCAAATAAGTCTGACTATTAAAGGCAGTTACGTGATGGGTGTGATGAGGCTGACTCAGTCAAGGAAACAGATGTGAGATGAACTAAAGAACTGAGACTTCCTTCTGAAAAACAAGACACAATTCCCAGGTGCGTAAATGTTCACCATGCAGGAAGTAAGTAAGGGTTTATGGAGGGAAAACACCCATCAAAACAAGTTTTACACGACATGTTAAGCATTAAATGTACAAGGGAAGGAGAGAAAAGAAGGAAAAGAGAGGAAAAGGGAGAAGAAAGGGAAGAAATTAAGAACTAATATTAACTCTGCTGCCTGTCTGAAGTTATAAGACACAGTTGCCATCCTTTCAGTTTTAGAAATATGTCCATACGTATATGACACTTTACTCGAGTATGGCATTGCGAGCTGTATAAGGTCGCCGGTCCGATACCTGACAGGAACATTTCTCTCTTAACCCAAACGATTACAGAGTATTGAGAATGTGGCAAACATCACTTAATAACTCATACAAATAGGATGGTGTCTTATTGTGAAGGCTGAATTTGAATAGTTTGTGTTGTTCAGTGCTTACATAATGTTGAAATGTGATTGTTACTAATGTAAGAAACATTTATACCAATCATCAGTCACATTAACACACATTTTAAATGTGTGCATTTTGGAAAACGATGTATATTAAATAATTATTGTTTATATATTTTATATATTTGTTTGACAAAAAATACCATATTCATTAATACAAGTAGCAATATTTAAAGCACTGCAACAATGTTATTGTCTTCTCTATATGACTGTGATGAATTTGCTAGATTAAATGCATTGTGGAACCATGATATTGTTCAGTTGATGAACATAGTACACTCTTTTCACTTGGCATACACATACATTAAGAAATAAATGAAAGATGATATAAAATATTGTCAAAATGTATATAAAATAAATAAAACTGTGAAACACCGGAAAACACAGTGAATGAAATTCCAGATCCACAGCGAAGTTCAGCGGTGGATTTACGGCGTCGGCGGAAGTATCGGTTCGGCTCGTGGGAGAGGAGAATCCTCCTGATTGGAAAAGCTCTGCGCGGATTGTTCGGTAATAGAGGGAGAATTTGGGAGAAGGGCCACAGCGATTGGCTGTGAATTCTAGAGTAAGATGGAAATACCAAGCCGTGATTAGTTGTAGCAAAATTAGAGCAGCGGTAAAGAGTCGCAGTAGCGTTCAACTCGATTTGAAGAAAAGGAACCTCCTTCGAGCCGGATTTGAACCAGCGACCTAAGGATCTCTGTGTTGCCACCTACAGTCCTCCGCTCTACCAACTGAGCTATCGAAGGGCACAGTCATTGCTGATGGAACAACTACATCTCTTTCTACGAATACTAATAATCAGAACAAACACAAGTAAGTTTCATTCCTTCTTTATTTTGTTCTTGTATTAATCATCCGTACAGCAATTATTTTGCACTATGTACACTTTGCTGTTGATGATGCTCTCCCTCCATCGCAGCACCTCGGATCAACCCCTCGTAAACAAGGACACAATGACAGAAGGCTCTCCCCCACAGACGTCAGGAGGAGCTGTTGCCTTCAGTAGGGACGAGAACTGGTGATGGGGAAGTGAAATAGTGAGGTACTAGTCCATAGCTGTTTGCTACATTGCTCTCATGGCTTCAGACACTGCACACCAGATCAAAACATTGAAATCAATCAGTATGCTCTGCCTTCTTGTGCGTTGCTTAGAAAGGTTTTTCTGATGAACTTGCAATAACAAATTAAAATCAGCAATCAAGTGACTTACTGATCACACATCAGTGTTTTTCCAAGTCGTTGTGCAGTGTTTGGACCAACAGAGCAAGAAAACGGCAACCATTTGTGATTTTATTACTTTACAATGTTTAGAATAATCATTTTCATCCTGCCACCTGCACTTGAAACATTCTGCTGCTAAAAGAGGGACATGGAGTACACGTCTGCTACCAAACCTTCCAGGGCCACACATGTTGAGGGCTCCGCTGGGCAGATGAAGGCTGGGTGCAGAACAGCAGCAGGACACATGATATGTAGAGAATACAAGTATTCTTCACCTCACAGACGAGCAAGTGGATACGGGTTTGACTTGCTTTTAAAATTCACGACATTTCACACTCAAATAAAAGTCTACTGTCAAACTCCTTTTCAAATAAAAGATGACACAAATCAGCTTAACTTTCTGTACACAAAGAAAAGACACCATTTAACAATTCTGTCTTTGTAAACCAATTTAAACAAATGAAAAGGGGCATAATTAATACAACATACAAAATTAAAAAAGGCAGTTTACTCTATGATAGTGTGAAGAGAAATGCTATTTCAAACAAAGATGTAACTACATGTCATATAAAAAAACAAATATGATAATAATAAAGAAGAAGGGAGTACCATCATCAGTCGTCATCAGAGCTAACGGATGACGTGATTCACCATGGAGTACCGAAATAATACCCTTAACTGGGAGCATGTTGGTAGTATACACAGTACACAGATTCTCTGTGTCTCTCACTCACTCACACACACTCACTCACTCACACACTCACACAGGTCTTGTAACATTGTGATAAGGGGTCATTTACAGACCCAACTCAAGGACTGGGCAGTGCGTCATCAGGAGCGATAGAGGTAAGAAGAGTTGAGTTGTTCTGTTGTTGAGATACTAATGATGTTCATAGATTAAAGGTCTCATACTGCGTTTCCTGCACAATTAGGCTTTTCCCCAAACGCCTCTGGTGCAACTGCAAAATAATGTTCCTCATGATACTTTGTCCTAAAAAGAAACTTGAAGAATATTTATTGAATTGAAAAATTCTGACAGGAATCGTAACATCCTCTCAGAAGGAACTGACACAGCAGCTCACCTGATTCCACAGGAATGAAGGCCACTTTCCACGACTCACTAATATGTGGAATATGGACGTGGGATTAAAAAGACGTGCAGTCTGTGGATATCACTTATCTATTAATCCTCTCTGAACTGAATAATAAAATCGAGCCCAGCTCGCAGCCAGCAGTGAGTAATAGTTTCATGTAACTAACATTATGAGGTGTAATGTCATCCAACCTGCATGTGCTACCACGTGACAGGACTTGAGTTGTGTTCACAGCATTTCCACAATGTCGCCCAAAAACATCATCCATAAACCAGCATTGAACGTTAGTGTGATCCTGAATGTAACTCAGTCCTTTCAGGTGGGGAGCTCTGACAGACCAGGAGTTCATTGGAAAGAAGCACAATGTTGGAAGAATTTAAAAGGATGTTCCAAGACATTTGACTTTCTCTCTCATTTCCCATGTTTCCATGAGAGTTGGTCAAGTGTTTTTCAGAACGAGTGTGGGAATCCTTGTTTAAATGTGGTGGATCAGGCTCCTGGTTCAGATGCTACAAACTGGCCTTATTGGACGGATTTCAGCCAATCAGTCCAGCTGTGATGATGTGTTTTGATCTAAAACTATTTTTGGGGACATTTCAAGTAAAACTGAGTAAAAAGTCCTCATCTGTGACCACACAAAGGAGGGGAATTTACAGGACTTACATGTGTGACCGTTAATAGATGCCTGTTTAATTGTGTTTTTCTATTGGGAGCTGGATGTATTTTCCTTAACAGGTTTACATGTATTTAAATATAATTGTGTTTCTGACTAGGAGCTCTGCTTTAGTACCAACTCTTGTCTTCTCCATCCTCTCCAACCTTCTGCCCAATCTGAGGGGCTTTCTGGCACTGAGACCAGCCCCAGGTTCTTTTCTCTACACCTGGGCACTTCTAGGCAACCAGCAAAATGCTCGTCGTCATCAGGTTTTTATTCCTGTCTTCACCGTTTCTCACTGATGCCACAGCATTTACATCCACTGGACCATGTGAACCGTCAAAAGGGACAAAAATAAAGATATATAAGTAAATAGCGGTACCTGTGTATCTACGGTTAACTTGTACCACAGTGGCTCAATACTAAGACTCCATAAAGGCCCAAATGATCAGGCCTCAGTTTGGTCTTTTGTCATTTCACACACAATCATAAACATACGGTCGTATAAAAACCCATAAAGTCAAGAGCAGGAGGTAAAGTATGGAATGACGTTAAATGAAGACTATAGTAACAATGATAAAAAGTAACACAGGTAGTACTCAAGGGAACGAGCTGAGGTGTAGTTCATCTGTACCACCACAGGGGGGAGCAACAGCACCGAGCTTCCTCCTCAGACCAGCAGGTGGTTTGAACAAAGCAAGCACACAGTCCTTCTGTCTTTCCCTCCATCACTCATGGTTCCATTGTGTTTTTAATAAACACCTGTGAAGTACCATACAAGTTAATTTGACTCTACTCCTACCCTACACTACATACGCCATCTTTATCTCTTCCTGCTATGTTATTCCTGCACTCCCTCCTCCTGTCCCCTCCCCCACCGCTCCAACTTCTGTCTCTCTTTGTCTTTTCTCTCCCAGTTTTCATTGAACTGCTCTAACATTTGACATCCTTCTCCTGGTTCCTCTCTCTTAGTAAAGTGAACTTGTTTTTGTCCTGAATATTAGTACCAATTCATCCTCACATTTAGTACCGCTCTGTCTAGTAGCTAAACCATGAGTGCCATATATATATATATATATATATACATATATATATATATATATATATATATATATATATATATACACACACATACATACTCCTCTTTCTGTGCTGCTGCTTCCTCAAACTCACTCCCACTTCTGCTGATGTGCTTGCTTTAAAAAGGTTTGGACAGACTTGCATTGATAGGCGAACCCAGCAGAGACTTCACATCTTGAAAAGTGGTTCCCTCTGCAAAACAAAATCAATGTTTTCTATAAGCTTGAGTGCTGGCAGAGAGAGTGTGTTTCAGTCCGGGACCACCTCTTGTCCTCCTCCTGTTTCTGTTATTGTTATGGTCTCTTCCCCTACTCCTCCTTCTCCCTTCGGCTCTTCGCTGCTCCTCCTTGTCCTTTCACTTCTCCATCAGTCCGTCCTCCTCTGTGATGCCCTGAGCTCGGAGCTCTTCCAGGACGTTGTCCAGGTGTCCGGGGTCGGGGAACCCGTGGCCCGTCAGGTTGGAGCCAAACTCTGTCTTATGGTGGACCTTGAAGAGAGGGAAAAAATGTTTTCTTTTGTCTCGGTGACAACAAACCTGCTGTGCATTGATCACAAACTACAGTCCATCAGGCTAACGTTATCGTGTATGTACCTCGTTCCAGATGACGGTGTCAGACTCTCCGGTAGTGCTGGAAGTCCCGACTGAGAAGATCAACCTGCGGTCCCACGCTACCAGGAGCAGTCTCAGTACCTGGCGACAGGGAGGGTAAGGTCATACCGTTAAAATGTATCTGTACTAACAATGGACCTACTCCGAATGATGGCTGATTGTGTTTACCTTGCGTCCTCTCTCGCTGTCTGGGAGGTAGCAGTGTCGGGGGAAGCCTCTGGCAGTGAAGGGCTTCCCTGGGTTCGGATGCTCCGGTCCCTGCCAGGAGAGGGTTGATATTAGTAGGCACTCATGCTAATCAACCTCACTGACCATGGAATACCTCATAAGCCAACAACATATTTCAGAAATAGACGAAATTCCCTCTAAGCTGTTTTCATGGCTAATGAAGATGAATATCCCACTAAAGCTGTGTTTCCACTGCATGGCTTAGCTCTGCTCCACTCGCTTATTGGTCCCAGCTCCTTCTGAATGTTCCTTTGTCACTGCCGATAGTGACTGCAGTGTTTGAACTCCGCCTTTTAGTATTAGCTCATTCGCTTGGAACCTCAACAGAGGTGGCATTAGTTAAAGTATTCACAACCTTTGCGAATGGAGATGCAAAAATAACCGTTCTCATGTGCTACAAACTGAAGGCGGCTTAAAGGGACAGGAATCAATTTCACATGGGGGTGAAGTGTCCCTTTAATATTCATGTTTACATGCAGCCGTGCATACTCCAATGAATGTAGACCGCCTCCATGACGTACGTCCTACGGCTACGCCCTTTAAATAACTTCAAGTTGTCCTTCTTTTCCTGCTGCAGTCATGTTGCTCCTCATCACCGCTCCGCAAGTCTGGCAAAACTCAAGCTATTCATTTGACTATTACTACTATGCTTGGGAACATACTCCAACGACAAAAAGAGGCAAGAGGCTGTGTGTGTCACAAGCTGCAGTGAACATCCTGAGTGAGACGCACATTCTAAATGCTCTGCGTACTTGTCCAAAGAACGCTCCTAAAACGTGAATAATAACAACACATCTCTCATGTCTTACAAAGTGCTGCATTCAGAATGAGGCCTAACTGAGAACATCCAAACGGAGTGTGCTGTTTACGTGATCCATATCATATTGACAATATATTCTAATTAAACGAGTACCTGAAGGCCTGGCGGTATGTTGTAGATGATGCGTATGCTCTTGCAGTCAGGGTGGCCCGGTAGAGAGTGAGGGATGACGTGGTACTCCATCTTCCCCGCCGGTTGGTTGCCTGTCTTCACACCGTAGATGGTTTTACAGGTGGGACACTGAAGACTGCGTAGGGGGGAGAAAATTGATGAGCTCATTTCTCAGCTGAGAGACAATGAAGAGTCATGGTCTCCATCTCTGACCCACCTGCCGTCCTTGTTGCCATTGTTATACATGGCCACCAGACACTGGAAATGGTACTGGTGTCCACACTGTGCTAGTCGCCCAACTGACTCCGCCCGAGACACAGGCCCCACCCCTGGACCCTTGTATCCAGACGGACCCCCCAACGGCTCCATACAGATGGTACAGTCCTGGGAAAGAAGAGGTCGTTTCATGTGAAGCCAACATTATGCCTCATATGAGTTAGCCCTACGATAACAAATAGATATAAATACTGCTCACACCTCCTCTGGTGGACTTTTTACTTTCTGCAGGTACTTCTTTACCACGTCCTCTGGAGTTTTACCTGCAGACAGGAAGGAGAGGGAACAGAGGGAAAGTCCAGGTTGTTAACTCCACTGATTAATTTAATTAAATTAATTAGACATTTCAAAGGCAGAAACCATAAAACAAAAGCATCTGTGGAGGTATAAATATGTTGTTTTGGTCTCTACATGAGTGCTTACCCTTGCGAGCCTGTTTCTTGGTGGTCTTCCTGCAGCAGTGGCCAAAGCCGGGCACGGGTTTGACGTCGCTCTTGCTGACAGGCGGAGGGTGCAGCACGAGTTTTGGAGGTCTCGTCAGACACACGGGCAGAGCGGCAGCACTCATCAGGATACCTGTGATCCCTGAAAAATATGTCTGGTTAGAAGAGAAAAAAAGATCTTGCTCTCCGCTTTCTTCTGAAATTCCCCAAAGAACCTGGTGAAAATGTCATGCAGCCCACGGTTAGTGAGTGAGAGTGGTTTACCGGCCAGTGCAGGGTGAACAGGACTGGATCCATTCAGGTTCTTCACGGGGACCGTGGGCACACTGCAAGAGAAGACACAAACTGTTCTGTACGGTGTATTTCCTACAGCGACGCATCAGGACATAAGAATCTGCACTTACTTTGAAAAACTGATGACTGTCATTTTTACACTCAGGTAACACAATTATGTGAAAAGAAAACAAGCCAATGAAATCAGCTAGTCTGAATAAGTCCACTCCCTCTCAGTGTGCTGCTAAAGAGCACATGGATGACTGCTCCCGACCGTCGCTGTGTGTTTATTAGAGCTAATCCACCAAGAGATGGACGTCATGCAGCTGCTTGCTAGGGATTACCTGCCTCGTCACAAAGCCCATCATCATCATCATCATCATCTCTCAGTGACAAACTCACGTATCACACACGGACATGTCCACAGTGTTTATAGAATTGTACCGTATATTTGATGATTGTGATCTGTAAACCTATTTGGAAATGTGAGCTTTACATTTTGGGGGTCCTACAGGTTATATATACTGTATACTGTATATGGTGGGAGCTTTTCACTGCAGGTCTGAGGATCGGTTGATAATAAACTACTCAGCTGACAGCTGCGTGTGCCAACACAGCCGTTCAGCTGGGGTCAGAGGAGGGTTAGTCCATTATAGACTACACTTCTAGGCCTGGAGGCTCCTCAGGCTGGAAGCACGGTGAAAGGAAACGCTACTGTGCCTGCTCCATGGGCCCATGGAGGGAGAAGATTGCTGGAAGACACCGGGTCATCTTATACTCAGCAGTCAAACCACTTCGGCTTCATGCGCCACTGAGCAACTTTCATAAAGAAGAAATGCCTCCCATGCAGCCAAAAATGCTGGACCAGGGTCTGACATCACGTCATCATATCATTTATCAGCTCATTTAGCTACACAGGAACAACAACAACAACACTACCTGATCCACACATCCTGCCCGATCAGTACTGCACACTAGTACTACACACCTAGAGTTAAAATGCTCTCAGGCACTTTGTTTTCCCTCATAATGCTAAATTGTGAAAAACAAATCTGTACTGAAATCAGCTGGAGAACTAGTAATGTTATAGTAAAAGCAAATCTTTTATTCCCTAATTATGTGAATGTGTGTTTTCATGGCAGAGGGACAGAGTGTGGCAATGATCTGTTGTTTCCTGTTTAGCTTTAACAGGCTCTCTGTCAGTGCACTAAGCTGCTTTCACTTAACCCCACTTAGTGACACATGACGACAGGCGAGTGAATGACTCACTGTGTGTGTGTGTGTGTGGGGATGAGAGTATGAGAGAATCATTGCACAAGCTTCAGGGAGGAACAGAAAAAAAACACAAAGTACGAGTAGAAAGATAGTACTTATACTAAATTGTATAGATATGAAGGGTGACGATACGGCAAAAAAGAAAATCCCACCCACCAAGCTAGGTACACGAAACAGGCTCCATGTTTCAGACCCTTGCAGTGAGGACAGTCATCCCTCCTCTCACACAAAGAAGGCCCAGCGAGCACTAAGTCCACGGCCCTGGCAAGCAGCAAGGCCTGGTGCACAAGCAACCTTCACCAGGGGCCCTTCAAGCCGACCCTGACCACCCAAGTATACATCAACATGTTGAGAAGTGTAAAATTGTGCGGGACACATGAGAAATGTCTGCTCCTGACCTCTGTCCACTTGTGTGGTTTGATTTCCCCTCTGCCGTTAAAGAGACTGAGAATGCAATGTGACTGTCAGACCATCTCACAGATATGCAGGAGAACAGCACAACAAAGTGAGCTTTATATTTGAACCCTAATGAGCAGTAGTAGCTGTAGTTTCACCAGACTGCTACACCGCCAGCATTCAGCCAGGAGCCAGCTATCCAACAACCAAGTAGTGAGAACGCATGGCTGGATGTGGCTACCGTCACATTGTAATCACATCAAATTTCCATCTACGTTGACCAGATTAGTCTGAGCCTCACTCTGAATACCAGCGATCTGCTGCCGTATGCAGTCAGAGCAGTTTAAGATCTTAAATGTATTTATGACAACATACGACTTACAGACTCCTCTGTTGTAAACCGGCTGTCTGCTGATGATGGATGGGAAACACCTCTATTACATTGAGATACACACACACACACACACTAACCACGTGTTGCCAGTCACCGGCTCTATTAATATTTAATAGGTTGCTGCGTTAGCAAGGAAGGCTTTATATTATGAGGTAGTCTGATCCTGGATCAGCTGCATGTAGCTCATTAACACACTTCCCAGCTGGCCCACTGATGATGACACACATAAAAACACACAGCTCCTAAACGTGTCACTTATCACGGTGACATTTGATTTGTCAAAGGAATAATTTGCTTGATACCTAGTTTCTAATGTTCAGGGGATCTATTGGCAGAAAGTATGAAACTTGTTTTGCGTTATTTTGTATTTGAATTTTAGAAACAGTATACACACATCAGCAAAATGTGTGTTGTACAATAATACGTTTCTAAAATAATATTATATATTATTTCACTATAATTACACTAGGTGTTTGTGTTCTATTGAGCCCGTAGGCTGCACTGTAATTACTAAAGAACACCAGTATATCTCTGTGATAATGACTTTATGTTTATGATTTTGAATTGGATCAGGTGTGATTGGTCTCCATCACCTCCTCTCTTTGGGACAAACCCACCACTGGCTCTAGAGAGGGCCTTTCTCTGACATGACTGTGAAGGGAGGGGTATTCAGCTTCACCACTAGATGCCACTAAATCCCACACAGTGCTCCTTTTAAATTTAGTAGCATGCAATCGCAAATTTAAAAATTCAGTTGCATGCACCGCTAACAGCAAGAGGAAGCTGTTGAAACTTGATCATACATTCAGCAATATAAATCAGTTTACTGTAGGGTTCTCTGTTCATTTGAAAACTATGACGGTGTGTCTGTTCACAAAAGGAAAACTTGTAAATGTGAATTGGGGAAAATATTTTTGAAACCATCAACACCTACTTCACACGTATTAAAAATAGAAACAGTTAAATTCTCTACAAATGCTTGGTCCTCCATATTATATTACCCAAAGAAATCAGAGAAGAAGTAGAAGAAAATGGCCTGGGGGGAGGGGCCTGAATGGGACTCCAGTGTCTTGACCCCCTTCACCCTAAGCCCCGCCCTCCTACCCTCCGCCTGCTTCCCACCAGATCACACACTCCCTCAGCTTTGTCTCACACACTCCCCCCGCCCCTCCATCCCTCCGTCCCCCTGCTACTCCTATTCTACCGGGTCCAGATGGACATCAGCTGGACTGATTTAGATGCCAGACAATAGCACGCTCCCACACATATTGTCACACACACACACACAAAGCTGCACCCACAGCCTCACACATTCTTATGGACACACACACACACACACACACACACTTGCTGAGGATGTTTCAAGGACACTTCCTGTGCTTAATTGAAGTGAAAAATAATTGGATGTGACAGAAAGTGGTCGACGTGGTTGCCATTGTGGGGAGACTGTGTGACGTTTCCTAGAATCACACTACATTTGAAATGAGTTTATCTTGTCAACTAACATTTGTTGAATGAACCCGACAAATATAATGTTCAAAAATATTATACAACAGATCCAAAGTGGCAGTGGATGTCATTAGAACTGACCTGAGTGAAAAAAACAGGAAGCGGTCAGCTTTGTGGTGATTCTGTCTTGACAGCAAAGACCTCTTTAAAATGTGAATTAAGCACCATGCATGGATACATTCAACATATTTCTTTTCATTATCATTACATACACTTCAACCAACTCAAGTTGTTTTGGCCCTGAATCGAGTACTTTAATACTGGCTATATTGTGATACAAGTCTGATCCCATACTTATATTGAATACAATGACATTTTAATTCTTAGGAATAGTCACACATTGGAATTGGTATGCAAAAATGCATAACCCTAACCCTGCCGTTATCTAGCAGCCCTATGTCACTTCACACCTGCTGTCCAATAAAGACATAAACATACTCACAAAGCCACTAAACTACCAGCTAAAGACAAAGACCGCATGGAGGCCCGTGTGATAAAACAAGTTGTTACTTAATACTCCAACAACATCACGCCTCACCAACCTACTCTGTCAGACAGTTACTCTGGAAACTACTGCTTCATGTCTCATTATTATATTCAAGGACACCTGTTGAGTCCGAGGTTTCATTCTGCATATCTTCCTTGATTGTGTGAATGTAAGACTTTCAGCTCCCACTACGGGCCTCTCCAGATTCAAATCAGACCTGTTGGTGAACTAAACATGAGGCAACACATCGTCACTGCACATCTCTGCTCCTCTGATCTCTACAGTCGCACTTTATGGAGGGCTCTCTTTCTCACACCTCTTCCTGTTTATTTTGTGTTTCCTCAGTACGCCGTCTGGGCTGCCCCCCC